AAAAACCCAGAACAACCATTAGATCCCGGCCATGAAAGCCTTCGCGAATTTAGTAAATATCTGTAACTTTTTATTATCGGAAATGGTACCTTGTACAAGATGGAATGGAATAAACCGAGCGATGTAGATTAAAAAAGAGAGACCGAAGTCAAGCATATTTGCTAATTAGTCCCTTGAATAATATAAACACAGTTAATGCAAGCTTTCTGGCTTTCAAATTGGAGGAGCAATGCTTCAAACTAACAAACATGAATAAGTTGGAGAAACCTAGTCTCATGACCGTTTCATAATTGCTCTTGCATCCAGAACCTGTGATGTCTTCCCCTCCCACCCCCAATGAGGTGGAAATACCTGCAGAATTGAAGTGTCCACATATTCCTAACCAATTTTAGGATTAGAAAATCTGTGCCCAGAGAAGACTAGTGACAAGGCATCCGTTTTGTGACCATCCTCGATTTTAAGGAATGGTCATTCAGCACTGAGTCACACGATGCCGACTTCACCGCTTCCTTCTGTGGAAGTGGTTTCGCCTCAGAGGCTGCCTCATTCTCCCGTCATCTACTCACCAGCGTGCTTTGCATAATTAGCCATCTTTAATTGAACCTAACCACATTCCAACAACTGTCGTTTAAGTTGTCACTCCGCAACATTTCCTCTTAATTCCTCTTGAGCGAAATTCCCTAGCCCGCATCAACAACATCAGTGCTGTTTTCCCATGTTCCACGCCGGCTGGATTCACAGCCTTGGGAGTGGCAGCTTCTACAGACCTTTGGATCTGATTTTCTTTACCTTCCCTAATTATTTGCATCAGGGAGGTTTCTTAATTAGTTCAAGCTCTCTTTCATGTGGCAAGTGTGTTGTTCTTCATACCTCCAAACGAACGTATAGACACACCTGCCACATGCTTTAAGCAGAGTTTTGAAAAGTTACATTTTTGGGACTACATCTCCCAGAATCGCCAGCCAGCAAGGCTACAAGCCACAGGGGGTTGCTGATTGGGGGATCTGGGAAATGTCATCTAGGAAAGGGGGGGAAGGAACTTCTCAAAAGCTCCCTCTGTGACATTTAATATGTAGGAGGCTTACATTGCTTTTTTTTAATGTGAAAAATATTAGCAATTACACAGTGAGTGCTTTGACCTTGTTAGTGCGAGATAGATTTATATACTGTATTTGGGAGGGATTTTTTTTAACAAAAATAAATTACAACCCCATCTTTCTGTTTACCAAGCCTTCAACACAGCTTATAGGAAAATCGATCTGTTGCATAGGAAACCGTCTTACCACTGCAGCAACTTTCAGCCAGTTTTTTTTTGGGGGGGGGTGTCCCTTGGGGGTGGGGGTTTCCTTATCACCTCTTAGCTTCTCAGGTGACTCAGAGATAGCAGAGATTGAACTGAGCACCTTCCGAACACAGAGCAGTTGCTTTCCCAGTGGCCTGTAGGTGCAAATTAGTACCATAAAGGTTCAAGATCGAATCGTTTCATCGTTCTACTATTCCGCTAAGGTATTATTAACTTGTATATTTTACAGTTTGGGAGGAGGTCAGGCTGAGTGAGAGCGGCTTGCTCAAAGCCGGCTTAGTATGTTGATGCCCTTGGAGGAACTTCAGTGGTGACTTTGCAAGGCTTTGTTCTGAACCATTAAGCCTTTTTAAAAGGGTGTGCACCACCCTTTCACGTTTGCAGCTCCTCTGAGGGATTTTCCCAGCATGGTGTGTACTGTGCTGGTTTGGGGCTCGGCTGCCTGAGTTTCCTCCTACAAGGCCCTCCATGGATAAACCTAAACAGCCCATTTAATTAAATTAAACCTGCCTTATTTTTTTGCTCGAAGGCAGGCTGTTAAGAAAAGAATACACTAAACCCAAATGGCTTTTTTCTCCCCATCCCATGCAAATGGGAAAACAGTGGAGTTTGAGCTGCGAAAGGAAATCAAGAGGCTGCAAGAGTACAGGGTAGCAGGAATCACCAGCTTCTGCAGTAAGTACACGGTGGATAACTTAGCCAAGGGTGGGTTGTGGTGCTGGTGCGCAGTAATGTTAGAGAGACCTGAAATATGTTCATCTTAGTTCGGGGGGGGGAGGGGTTGGCAAATCGGAATCCCTGACCTTTCAGGTATGCCTCAGATGATGTTGCTAAATCCTGTAGCAGTGACCAGTTTTGAATACATGGAAGCACTGGCTGACTTAGGATCCCATTAACACCTTTCTTCAAAGGGCTACAGTAATACATTTCTGGTCATTAATGCCACAGCTTCTTGTTTGGGGGGAAAAAAGAATCGCTGACTCTCAATCTGCTCCGTCAGTAGACTTAGGTATCACAAAGCTTTTCGATTCTGCTGAGAGTCGCAACTTCTAGGGTAGGTGGGGGCAGCTTCAGGTTTAGAGACCAATTTTTTTTTTACTGCAGGATTCTCCAAGTTTGGATGTCAGCTTCTAGTTTTAAAAATGAGTATTGTTTTCTGTTAAACCCTAATAGGGAGTATTCCTATTTAAAAGGTGAATTGCCGCTTCTGGTTCAGCAGCAGCAGCAGCATTTTATCCTTTATGCTGGGTGGGAGCCTTTGTTTTTAAGGGATGTGGGAAACTGATGAGGCTGGAGGCCATAAGACAACTTGGGCGAGGCCCCATGGACACACACCCCCGGAGGGCCCTACTTTGCCCACTCTGCATCATAGGTGGACAATGCCAGGAATGTCCTTTAAAGTGCCCCTGGCACACACACACACACACCCAGATCTCCAGAAAACCCAAAACAAGAGCCTGAAATATCATTTCCTGCCCCTGGAAGTCTCTGAAAGCAGGGGTTTTGCTCAACCTTCTGTGGCTTCCAAAACCAGATGGGGCCCTATAAGCACCTCCCGTCTTGAATTTTCTCTCTTTGTTATTTTTGTTAATATGGCCCGCTGTGTGTCTTGAAGGAGCCCTGCGCCCTCTGAACCGTCTCGCCCTGGTTCTAAACACCAGGGAGACATCTTTCAGGCCCCACAAGGGCAAAATTCACTCACAAACCCGGACCTACTGGGGCTGCCTGCCCATTTCATGACACCCCTGAAAATCAATCCCCTTGAGCCATCCTGCTTCCGCCCGGAGTACTAACCTGCATTTGGTTGGCGCAGGTGCACGGACGTACGACCGCCTCAAGACGACGCGTGAAGAGGAGCGTCTGAAGCGTACCATGCTTTCCGAAGTCCTCCAGTACATCCAGGACAGTAACGCCTGCCAGCAGTGGCTCAGTCGACAAGCAGATATGTATGTCCGCAGTGAGATCAGGGTCTGGCTTGCGAATGTTTTGCGGTGCAACCGGAGTAACTCCAACATGAAGCAGCTGCTTCAGAAACCCAGAACGAGCTCTTTCGTTTGGGGAGATTCCCGAGGGGGGAGGCAGCTGGGGAGAAAAAGACAACAGAGTGTTTTGTGACACCTGAAGGCTCGCACATTCCATTGGGTTTGGTCTGGTTTTGCACAGTACAAAATGGGCCGCACAGTCCACAGAAACTTGTGTCAAATAAAACTTGTTAGGCTCTTCTTTGGTTTTGTCTGAAGAACTAACAAAAAATTATGAGAAGGTGGGGAAACGGTCCGTGTGATCCTTTCTTGAGTCCAGTGAGTCTAATCTGCTACATATATTATTTCTCATTTCATTTTCAGTGATTCCGGCCTGAATCCTACAATGTCCCTTTCATCAAATTCAGGTAAATGTGGGTTGCTGTCTTTTCACCAAAAATCAGCCACAGTGATTGGCTTCATGCTTACTCTCCGCCCATATAAATACTCTTAGAAATGTGGAAACAGAGACCCGTGCTCATTCACAATCAACGCGTTCAATGGCCACCTGCCCCAATATTCATCGAAAAGACTCGGGTGGCCTACACTGAACCATTTTTTGGAACCATCCCTGTTTCCTCCCATCTGCATTTTCTTCTCAAGGCTTTTGATCCAGATCCTGAAGCAGGGCCATTAAAAATGAACAGTCTCCAGAGAAACACAGTGTCCTATCGAGCCACAACAGTTAACACATACCGTGCAAACACAGACACACACACTTCCTGGTATGTGGCAGGCTAGACTGGGATCTGTAGCCTGTTTCTCTAATATGTATACCATTCTCTGTCTCTGCCATACATACCACTACATATCTACCTTGTCACTTTGCAGATACAGTACACTACTCATAAAATGCCCCATATCTACCCATAAAACATAAGATAATGTTCAGAGGCTTTTTGGTTACCTTTGTGAAACCAGTACAGTCTCGGTATAATAAGAACAAAAGAAGAGACCTGCTGGATCAGGCCAAGGGCCCATCAAGTCCAGCTTCCTGGATTTCACAGTGGCCCCACCAGATGCCTCTGGGAGCACACGAGGTAACTGGAGACCTGTCTCCCGATACCCCTTCCCTTGCATCTGGCGTTTTGAGGTACCTTTCTTCGAAGCCTGGAGATTATACATTCCCATCGTGGCTTGCAACTAAAGAAGAGACCTGCTGGATCAGGCAAAGGGCCCATCAAGTCCAGCTTCCTGGATTTCACAGTGGCCCCACCAGATGCCTCTGGGAGCACACGAGGTAACTGGAGACCTGTCTCCCGATACCCCTTCCCTTGCATCTGGCGTTTTGAGGTACCTTTCTTCGAAGCCTGGAGATTATACATTCCCATCGTGGCTTGCAACCTGTGATGGACTTTTCTCCCAGGAATCTGTCCATTCCCCTTTTAAAGGCATCTAAGCCAGATGCCATCACCACGTCCTGTGGCAAGGGGTTCCCCCTGAGTGGATGTCCCCTGGTTTTATATTATAATCAGTAAAGATGGCACAAGAATGGCCTTAAGCTCTTCATTTTTGAGTGCTGCTTGTGAGCCCCTCAGAATTAAAGGGAAGCAGATAAACCAGGGTGCTGTTTAAAACCATGACAACAATAACAACGAGAAGCACAATGACATTTCTGTCTTGCCAGCTCATTGCCTCATAGGGCTCTTTCCGCATTGCTCAGCTGCATACCTCCAGTGACTACATCTCAGAGCCCAAATGAGCTTCAGTGTGAGTAATATAGCGGCATGTGACACGTGTCTCATTTGGTACCTGGATCCTCAGTGGAAAAGGTGACCTAAGCATGATGGCCGTGGCTGATTGACATCAGTTGCCTCAGTTGGTCCATCATGAGGACAGAAAAGAAGTCAGCACATTCAGAATTCTGGGAGCACTGGGTTCAAATACATACTGTGGATTTCCTGGTGTTCGGCTACAGTCGTACCTCTCAGGCTTTGATGCTGCGGGCAACCACTCCAGGAAGTTTTTAACTTGGAGCCGGGCCTCCTCTGGGGTGGCCACCTCCTTGTGCAGTGCTCTGCCTGTGGAGCACTGCCATCAGGCCCCTTCCCTCCTAATATTCAGAAAGCACATAAAAAACACTGCTTTTCAGGGAGGCATCTCAGGATATCCTCCCTTTATAACTGTTTGTTACTTCATATTATCTTTTATTCTGTTTTGTAGCTTGTCCGTTGCTGCCATCTTGAGTGTTTAGCTGTGCAGTTTGTATATTTGATTTGATTTTTTTTATATTTGTGGTTTTGGTTGTTTAGTAGATAGATAGATAAGCAAACATACATAACATTTGCCAGGAATTACATAGCATGCGACTCTAATGATAGTTCCTTCCTGGTAAATATGATTGCATTCCATTGATCTCAGTTAGGGCTTAGCTACTGACTAAGCATGTAGATTTGTAATTTTATCCTGCTAAGCTTTAAAGAGGGGAGCAGATAATAAGGAAATGCATATATCTCCAGCAGACTAAAAATAGTTAGGTATCATATTTTCACACACACACCCTAAGCTTCTCTTCCATATGCACTGAGATCCCTTTTGTCTGTCATACTAACCCAGGGACAGTGTTGCAGATCTTCAGCCATAAATTTGGGAGCCACCCCCCCCAACACCACTTTACAACTGTAGCTTTCCCCACCCCTTTAATACCTGCCAAACCAATCTTTATTTTGAGAACTCAAAAAAGAAAACAACAAAACAAAATGCACATTGAACCTATTTAAACTGATCCAAAAAGTGTAGCAATATATCTGTGAAGATTCCCAGTCATCCAGGTGAGGTTATCTGGAAGCTGAGTCATGGCAACTGGGCTTCGTCCTTATTAGGTTGAAACCTTCTGCTACTCATCCAAGTAGAGACTGAAGAAGCAACTTGGATGAGTGGTGAAACATTTCACCTTCCAGTTGCCATGACTCCTTCCAGGTATTAAACTGATGCATGTCTGTCTGTCTGCCCCTGTATTCTGGCTGGCCGCACACTCCCAGGTGTTCAAGCCAAGGTGTGCCCCCACACTTCAAAATCTTTTGCCCTTGGAAATGCCAAGAATGCTGCACAAGTAGAGGATCAAACTGGTTTTGTATCTTCCCCAGAATAATAAAAGCATTATTTGCTCACAATTACACATTTATGCTTCTTCACACTAATACATATATCAACATATATTTGAAAATATGTTGAATAACTTGGTTTATAATGTGAGCTCAAATGTATTGCCTGGCCAGTACAACTTCCAGCTGGAGGTGGGGAACATTTTTGTTGTGTCATGGGTGACCGTCTCCTGGGATAATCTGTCAAGGTCACACACTGGTTATGGGGAGAGAAATAACTAATGGTAGGCAAGACCCGCCCCCTCCCCCCGAAGGGTCAGACTGTTTTAGAGTCCATCTTTACCATCAGCAGTGGATCTCTCATAAGAAGTAAAGGACAATTTTCTAGCTCACGGTTTCCACTCGTTAACTTGCTTTTGTTTGGTCACTGGGAGGTAAACAGGGGATTAATTTGCAAATCAGCATACTGACGCGGAGTTCTGGTGGAATGTGTCTCAGGAGGGATAATGTTTTGTCACTTTCTGAGTGGCATGAGCATAGTTTGGCCTTTGTTCTCTCTCTTTCTGCTCCTTCCCTCTTTTCTTTCTCTTCCTTCCAAACAAAGGAAGGACTCCTTTTGGCAAAGATCTGAACTGATTGATAGCAGGGGGCCTTTTGACAAAGGGTGGGCTCGGGTTTTCGTCACACGTGTGCGACAGTCTTCTGTGGACCTCCACCATTTCCAACGTCCTGCGTACCGTCCTTCCATTTCATGTACCGCCGCCTTTGCTGGAAGAGCAGCCAGAGCTGTTGCTCAGAGCATCCAATGCCGTGTAACCATTGCTGACATTTGTGTTGCTTTTATTTTCCCACTGCAGGTCGGAGAAGCGCCCCTCCGTTGAATCTCACTGGTCTCCCCGGGACTGAAAAACTGAATGAGAAAGAGAAAGAGGTACGTGGGGAACAAAGGGAGAAAGACTCAGCTTCTTCAGTGTTTCTAAAAGCTTAACGAGTCTTTTCCTGGGGCCATTTGATCCACTAAAAGTCCGGTAGTCACACACATGGGAGTAAGGCCCACTGAATTCAAAGTGACTTAACTTTTCTGAGTAAATGTACAGGATTTCAGTGTAACTGGCTTTGGGGGTGCCTTCCTCTGCTTCTTCCAGTTGAGTAACTGGGGGCAGCCTTTTCCTTTGGATCTCACAGCTTTACCAGATAGGTTCACCAGCTGCCTACTAATTTGGCATTTTTGGCAGCTTCTAGCATTACAGGTAAACATCCATGCCTTTTGTGAAGCTGAAAGGAGTTCTGTTTTCTGCGGCTGTTGTTCTGCTCCTGCTGCGACTTCTGCCAGAACATTCCTTTTTCAAAGAGGGGAAGAAATAAGCCGCTGGTGTCTCCAAGGGGCCATTACAGAACTGGGAACTTCAAAGAAGAGCCCGTCTTTGGGACCAGCTGGTGTCATTGCTGCCTCTCTAAATGGAACCAGAGACCTTTTTTTTGCAGGCTCTTATTTCAGTCTCCAGCAGAGGCCTGGGGGCTGCTTTGTAATAAACTTCCAGCATGTTAAGAACTCCTGGCTGTGTAGCCTTATGCCGCAGCCCATTGTTCCTGCTCTGTATTACTGGACAAAGCCAAGTACCACCAGATTAAAAAGAAGCCAACCTTGGTCTGGATTTGAGCTCAGGAAGTTGGGGGGGGGTGTTAAGGGACAGCTGTCTTTGCTGGCATCTCTCCACTGCGCAACATTAGTCAGCGTTAGACCCCCTGATTTAGTTGTATTTCCGAGCCTTGTTAAGAAGTAGACCATTCTGCAGCCTTTCCAGTACACCAGAATGTAGTCAGAAGCTTGGATATCAGGGGGTTGCTTCTCCCTCTGTGGCCAGAGACACTAAACCTATCCTTCGTCATCATGAGGCGAGGAAGGGGCTCTGCCTTGTAACCTCTTTATATTTGCATAAAGGTAAATTATGCTGAAAGACCTCTTCAGCATTGCAGCAGTCGATAGGGTTGCTGTAAATATCCACTCCTGGAGTTAGGGCTGATCTGCATGTTATTTGGCACTTCTGGTAGCTAAATTCATTGGATTTTTAATTTGGAAGGAGTCTCGTGGCATACTACAGTCAAGACTCTGCTCATGATGTCAGTTTGATCCCAACGGGTTCAGGTAGTTAGCCCAACAATGATTCAGCCTTCCATCCGAGGTTGGCAAAATGACCTCCGTTTGATCCCAACGGGTTCAGGTGGTTAGCCCAACATTGATTCAGCCTTCCATCCGAGGTTGGCAAATTGAGTACACAGTATACTTTGCGGGGGGGGGGAGGGGGCACAACATGTTATCTGGATGATTAAATTGTGAACCGCCCAAAGAGTGCTTTTAAATATTATGGGACAGTATTTAAGCAGCATGGTTTGCTTTAATGTTTGATCCCAACGGGTTCAGGTGGTTAGCCCAACATTGATTCAGCCTTCCATCCGAGGTTGGCAAATTGAGTACACAGTATACTTTGCGGGGGGGGGGAGGGGGCACAACATGTTATCTGGATGATTAAATTGTGAACCGCCCAAAGAGTGCTTTTAAATATTATGGGACAGTATTTAAGCAGCATGGTTTGCTTTAATTTGTGCAGGATTTTTGCAGTCTGAAATAGAATCTGATGGGCTAGTGAGTCAAAGCAGCCCTGAAAATATAGGATGTGGAGGAGAGAATATTATGATGGGGATGTGTAAAGTGCCTGCTGTCTTCTCTCCCAGCTCTGTCAGGTGGTTCGCTTAGTTCCTGGAGCCTACCTGGAGTACAAAGCAGCCTTAGTCAATGAATGTCACAAACAAGGAGGCCTGAGACTTGCCCAGGCTCGAGCCCTTATCAAGATCGACGTCAACAAAACCAGGAAGATCTACGACTTCCTTATCCGAGAAGGATACATCACCAAAGCCTGACAGAAACTTTGGGGGGCGTCTTTGGCGCGGCTTTCAAATCCACGACGGCCTTTCTTTTTGAAATGGTTAGTCCTGAAAAAGTGTGACGGTTCACACGTTTAAAAAAAAGAAAACAAATTTGACAGAACTTTGCTGTGTAATATCCTGTTGGCACGAGGCTGCTATGAACTTTTTGGGAAAAAGTTGTGGGACCCCATCGTCCGTTATTAAAAATACATGTGGGCATTTGCTTTGTGGACCTCTTGTGCCAGAAGAGAAGGATCAGGGAAGGATTTTTCCTCCCTTGCACAGAACTGCATCACTTCATGCTCAGCTTCATGTGGGAGAACCAGCAGAAAACACTCCACATATGCCCCCCTTGCATCTTGCATGCATCTGCACTAAAACCTATGTATTTCAGGAGCCTCAGCACATGCTGGTGGAGCTAAAAACTGCATCACACGTTCCCGTTTCACTGGACTAAAATTATACCCTTTGAAAGTTGGGGGTGGGGGAGAGAAAAATATCAATTTAGGAAGATGTTTGGTGCATAAAAGCATGCTGTAATAGAGTTACTTGGTTTTCCAAGTACTGTATCTAAATTCCACATCAGGGATTTCCATTTTTTTTGTTGCAAAATTATGCACATGTGAGGATACGTATGCAAAGATGCCTATTTGATAGGAAGCAGCTCAATTGGGTAGGCCATATTTTGCAAGAGAGGAAAAGGGAATATCAGGTTCAGAGTTCAGGATACAGATAGAAGCAGGCAAGGATGCTGAATTATAAATAAACAAGGAGCCAGAGCACTTGTGAGACATTCCAAGTGATGGGTGAGGCTGCAGGAATACTACCCCTTGAATACCATAGTACATCTTCTATGTGTTTTTCTTCTTCTTCTAGCAGTGTATTTTGAGTACCAGATTCTGAAAACAAACAGTCAGGCATAACCATCGCTACCGTAGCCCCTGCGGACTCTGAATGGCGGGCCTTGGTATGAGCCTGTGATGCAACGTTGATATTCTTAACCATGAGACAGACAAACTTAATTTTACATACAAGTAAACATAGCCCTGTTGTGTATGGCAACAGTCGAAACAGAAATACAGTCTGCCATCAACAGTTATGTGCTTTGCTTCCTCAAAAGGAACTCGTTCTTTACCAATCCATTTAGCAAAACTGCCTGCTGCTACTAAAATATGTTTTTAATTATTTTTTTTAGAAAATCCACACAAAACACAACAGTACACCATAAACACTCTGCCTATGAAACCATCCATTTATGATAAGATACAGAAAGACCTTTCTCTGAACCTCAAGCCAGAACACCATAATTAACAAAAGTGCCGACGTACTCAAGGAGTGAATGACAAGACTTGCCTTTTTGAGGAGGGGGGGATTAGCTCAGGATCTACTGGGAAAGTCAGACGAAGGTCTATTTCGTGGCTGTACACCTTACTGAGTTCTCTTGCTGTGGTTTTTTGCACATTAGTTACCATTTTGCACAAATATTATAATTATGGCTGTAAGACACAGCTATTGATACCAAGTTGTCAGTCCTTTTCTAAACAGAACTCTCATAGCCATGCAATGGGACTGAAATCCAAGCCCGAGACCAACACTTTAGAGCTCAAGTGGGTTGCTGTCAAATAAATTTCACCAGGCAGTGCCCAATCTTTTAAATGTATTCATTTGGTGCTTACATTTACTGGCATTTCAATGTCAATCAAACACAATTCTGTTTATGACCTGCTTCTGGGCATCTTGTCCCTGTGCCCCAGCGGTTCAAATCCATTGGTTCAAAATTATTTACCTCCCTTTGCCTCAGGCAGTCAAACATCTTGAACCGACTCTAGGCAGTCGGTCCAAGCACGGATCCTTTTATGCCATCGCTTCTCACCTCCTGCGGCAATTCAGCATCTCTAAACCAGTCCTTTCCATTCTTATGAAGCTCAGTGCAAATCCATTTTTTTCTGTGCTAGCTTGAGTCACATGAGACATGGGTTCAAATAAATGGCTCAGCGATTTCTTAGCAATAGAACATCCACACACATAAGGTATTGCCATCATGATCATATTTATTTGTATTAAACCCTAGTTCTCGACAACCTGCTCCCGCCGTGACACTCCTGCCCTTTGCCAGAGGCACATTGCATCATTAAGGAGCGCAGAGGCTGAGATGAGACAGCCAGCTGCCAGAACAACTGGAAAAAGCTGAGGCCATCTTAGGAAGGAAGAATTAAAAAGATCACACAAAGACACAAACACACACCCTCTCTCTCTCTGAAGGATCTGCCCCCTGCTGCATTTCAGATGTGGAGGGCAGCAACTAAGCAAAACATACCATGCCCAATTTCATTTTGGAAGAAGTCAAGAGGGCACCAGTCTCTTGGGGGCCAGCTAGTTAGCCGCCCCTCCGGTTTCACTGCTATGTGCCCGACAGCAAGAGAATCACCCCTTCCAACTCACGATCCAAAAATTAAGTCACCAGAAAGGAAGCACTCCGCACAGCTGTGCTCAAATTCAACACCCAAAGACTTTTTAAGCAAGATTAAACCAACGGCTGTGTAGGAAGCCAAAGATCGGTCTGTTCATGCAACGCGCAAGAGTGAGGGTTGCGGCGAGAACAAAGCTTCCTTCTCACAAAAGCCGGGAAGACAAAACACTCGAAAGGCAAGGCTTGAACAAGGCAGGAGGTGAAGTGGATGAAAATAATGTGTCTGTGACAACACAACATTGTGCCTGCTTATCCTCAGCCTAGAAACCCAGAACAATCTGCTGTGTTGCTTTTCTCTCTGGAAGAGGCCACGGTGGTTATTTTTTCAGTGCCGTTCTCAAGTCTTTGCAAAATTACAGGGCAGAAGAAAAAGAAGGGAAAGTCAACATCATCACTGGCGTTCCTCCATGAAAAGAAACCAGATCACTGTGAAGCTGTTGCATCTTCTTGCAAAGACATGTCACAAATGGGGAAATTCTGCAGTCCAGCAAGGAAAGATCCTTAGAACAGGTATGCTACCTCGTTGCTAGCCCACCGCCAAATTGTTATGAGATTAGTTGCCAATAGATAGGTAAGATAGTCATTAAAAGCTCCTTCATAGCCTCAAAAGGAGGAGGTATCTCTGCCTCGTGTAAGTTGCAAAATGCATCCCTACAAGTTCAGCCAGTGGTAATTTGCATTGGCTCTCCGTAGCGACCTCAGCAACTCTGTGCTGTATCATAAACCAAGAGAGTTAAAAATCAAAGTTAAATATTACAGCAGGAGTAGAAAATGGAACGTACGACATATCGAGTGTGGTAGTGCTCTGCCTGCAAAATGCACCTTCACTTCTTATCCCAGAAGGCTCATGTATCTCTTTTGGTGGATGAAGGCAGAGCAGCTGTTACTGCAGAAGGCCACTGTGTACAAAGTGAGGAATGTGCCCCCACAGGGTGTGGGGGGGGATGATGCCTGCATATGTATAGTGGGGCGAGGGGGCAGAACACACCGAATTCTGAGAACACCAATGGATTCTATTCAGATGGTGTGGCTCCTCCGGGGTGGGGTGCCTGCTCCACCCCAGGTTCATGCAAGAGGCAGATCAGCCAACGGGCCTAGACTTTAAGCATCCTGAATAATTCCCTCAGCACTTCACATTTCAGTGCAAACCACTTGCTGCCATGTGGGTCCATGTCTAGGCTCACCTTCCCACTGCTTAAGGTAGCCTGCCTTCATGAATTCTCAGCAGTTTCAATCATAAGCACCGACATTCTGGAGCAGGTAAGCAGAGTTGGTGGGGGATCACCAGGCAGCCCAAATTAATGGGATAGCTGATGCTGCTGTTTCCGCTTACTGCCAAACTGGTCTGGCAGCATTCTGCACATGGCACAACATAAGGCTGGCGTCATAGGTCTGGAGCCAACAGATCACCCAAGTGCACGATAACCCGTCGAGCTAGTCCTCTCTGATTTCCAAACCATGGCCGTATTCGTTCCTTTGATCACCAGGCGGGGCTGGCTTTATAACTGTTAGCAAGTGTGCCTTGTATAGATGGCGCAAGGGTCACAGAGGTTTCACAGATGCCCAGCTAATCATTGAGCTCTCAGCCAAGAAGCCCCTGGTTAAAGCACCACCTTAGTTCACTAGACCAGTGGTTTCCAACCTTGGGCCTTCAGATGTTCTTGGACTGCAACTCCCAGAAGCCTTCACCACCACCTCTGCTGGCCAGGATTTCTGGGAGTCCAAGAACATCTAGAGGTCCAAGGTTGAGGACCACTGCACTAGACGACCGCTTGAGGGTGACATGCTGTCCTCTTGTTCAAGGGTCCAGCCAACCATGCCAGGTCTTGTGGGCAGAGTGGTAAAACTGCAGTACTGCAGCCAAGACTCCGCTCACAACCCAGGTTCAATCCCAGGTAGCCGGCTCAAGGTTGACTCAGCCTTCCGTCCTTCCGAGGTCAGTAAATTGAGCATCCAGCTCACCAGGGGTGGGAGTGGGGCAGTGTGTAGGCTGCATAATTCAATGGTAAACAGCCCAGAGAGTGCTTTAAGCCTTATAGAAGCAGCACATTTTGCTTTGCTTTTTCCAGGACAATGCCTTCCATTCCTCCCCTCACGTCCCTTCCCAACTTTAATAATGATTCTCTCTCTCTCTCTCATTCTCAGTCTGCAAATAATGATAGTCAACTTTACCACATTTTATAAAAGGCTTCGAGATCGTTTTAAGTGTTTTCAACACCAGAAATTATCATCGGCATCTTCTGTCATTGACAAGTGGGACTTGCCACAAAGTATTACACTGTTAAGGTAGAGGTAAAGGTTCCCCTTGACATTCAGTCCAGTTGTATCCAACTTTAGGGTGCGGTGCTCATCCCCGTTTCCAAGCCATAGAGCCAGCATTTGTCCGAATAAAGTTTCCATGTTCACGTGGCCAGCGTGACAAGACACGAAATGCCGTTACCTTACCACTGTGGTGGTACCTATTTATCTACTCGGATTTTTACATGCTTTCGAACTGCTAGGTTGGCAGGAGCTTACACTGTTAGACACAACCTATATCCTACCTGTCACACCCTGAATATCAGATACACAACTCTCTTGCTGCCCATTTCATCTTCAAAACAGCCTCATAAGGCAGGTCAGGTCAGGAGAGAATGTAATGGATGATTTTCTTGGCTCAGTGGGGGATCAGAACCAAGATCTCCCCACCCCAGTACTGTCGCAACTATACCACACAGGCCCTCGGTCATATTTTTCATTCCCTGTTCTATAATGGGATTTTCAAGCATAGTTAAGTAGGTAGACAGGCAGACAGAGTGTGAGACCCTCATCAGCAGCCTAAACGGTCTCACACAGCCGCTGTGTCTCAGCCAGCGACATCTGAGGCCCTGTGCTTCTACCTCACATGGCGGATGCTTCGAGCCCCGCTCGCCTTCCAGCCAATGGGAAACAAGGAAAAGTAAACTGTTTTGGTAACCAGGGAGATGGGAGAAAGAGGAAGCGTGCAATTTGGAGATGCCAGCTGCATTCCTGCACATGTGGAGGCATGAGTAACGCGCGAATGCGTCGTCGCAAGCCAATTATAGCTCTTCCAAAGGAAGCTGTCCCCATGAAGGGGGCCTAATGGCCAGCTGGCTGGCTCACAAGCCCAAATGCCAACAGTTGGGAATATCGTATGAAACCGGCGGCTCCGAAGCAGCCACTGCAAAATAGGCTCATATTTAGGTTGTGATGCAAGCGGACTGCACAGTATCGCTAGAAGGCACAGTAGCGGCTAGGAAGCTAAGCAGGAAGTCTTGAGTTCAAGAGTCACCTCAACCCTGACCTCACGAGGTGCAATTATTTCCTCAGCCCCTGCTGGCAACAGCTCACACAGTCTGACATTCCTGCGGATGGAACTTTTCGGACACTTCTGTTTTGTTCCTGCTCAAAAGCACACGATGAATAAATGCCAAATGTTACACGTAAGAGCTGGAAGCAAGATGTTTTCAAGCACCAAAAGGCACGCCTAGCATGTCCTGAGCCATGGCACCTCACCCACCTCCGTTGGCCTCTGACCCTCACTCCATGGGGGCCTGACTTGGCCCCACGGCCGGCCGAGAGGAGGGTGAGCGAAGGCCCTTTTAAGCATGACCACAGGCCTGTCAAAACGGGGGCTTGGGCAAGTTATGTCTTTTGACAAAATCTACCTGAATCCCCCAGCTGCTGAAGGATTCTAGGAGACCAAAAAAAGCGACCTTAAAAAACCCCACAGAGCCCGCATAACACAATACACACAATGATAAGGCCAAAATTAAAAAATGAAACAAAATCCTACCAAAAAAGAGAACAAGAAAACAAAAAGAGATATGAATATTAACAAAACATGTAGTGACTCTGTCTCCTTTCTTCCCACCCCCTGCTTCTGGTGGATCGGAGGTTTGGGCCCTACGCTGGGCACTCTGCCCGCGCTCAGGGCCATCCTCTTGCAAGGTTTCAACGAGGAGCACCTTTATATCAAAAGATGCTTGGGGGGGGGAAGGAGCAGGTGTTTAAACCTAAGCAAAAGCTGTGCAGAATTTGGAGTTGGATGGGCATTGGTGGGGGAGAAAGCGATTTCCAAGCCCGGGCCATGCCTTTTCCCATTTCACGTGCTGATGGATTTAAAAATAAATTTGGAGCGGGGGGGGGGGGGGGAAAGACAGGCCACGGGAGCAGCTTTGACTCATCCTCCTCATTATGGGCTGCCGAGGCCTGCCTTCGCCTGTCTCTTAGTAACCCTGGGAAAAGGAGGAGCCGGGAGATCAGCTGTCAATGGCCCTCCCTCTCCCTCTCTCTCCTCCCCCCCCCCCGGCCACCCACATTCCCCGGCGCTCCGTAAGCAGCCAAGCCCTTCCCTCCTGGGCTCCCATTCATAAGCCCCGGTGCGGGACGAGCCGGCCAGCCAGCAGCTCTCCGGGAAAGAGGCGAGAGAGCAGCAGCACCACCACCACCTCGGAGGAGGCCAGGGCAGCATCTTCCTCTCCTCCACCCGTTCGCCCCCCCTCCGCTAAAAAAAAAAGAGACAAGGTAAGCAAAAAAAAGTCTCCCTAACTTAAAACCGCTTAGGATTTAAAGAGATGGGAACGTGATCCTTGTGTCAGAGCCGGGGATGAAAATATTGGGTTGTGTGTGTGTGTGTGTGTGTTTTTAATTAAATCAAAAGGAAATTTAAAAGACCGGTTTAGGGGGGGGGAGGGGAGAAGCGGCGGCTGGGCGCCCGAGTGTGAGTGCCGGAGGGTTTCCACGAGGGATGCGGAGTGGAATCGAAGAGTCGCGGCTCCGAGGAGAGCGAGAGAAATGGGAAGGAAGGGCAGCACCGCTTAAGGATTTGGGGTGGCGATGATGGGTGATGATGAATGTTGCTGCTTCTCCCCTTCCTGTGGCTAAAACCGCTGCAATGTGGGGCAGGATCCCCCGCGGGCAAGGTTTGTCGTCGGCTGTTTATTCCCCCTCCTAAGAACCTTTCTTGGG